TATTGTGATTTTGAATGGTTTCCTATCAATCATATATTCACCACCATGCCTGTTTTAAAAGACTTCAGTTCCTCTTTAGCTCCCAAACCTCTGTCTTTGCAGGTGGCCTTGCTTCATTATTTTCTGAGAATGAGGCCATCTGATTGATGCCTCTTGTGCTACTTGAAGTATATAATATTTGTGGATTCTGTATCTCACACTGTGCTTTAATTGTACTAAAGTTGATGTAAAGTTTTCTGTGTCATAAAGTTGTCATGGCAGGAAGCGTTTGCTCTAATTTATCATCATTTTTAGGAGAGAGAGAATGTCTGCCAAGATCATAATAACAGCTAATATTTGTTGAATATTTATATGCTAGATCTACCCTAAGTGCTTTACAGGCATCACCTCCTTTGACTGTAGTGTGGTCATTGGAACAGTGTAATAATATGCAGCTCAATACCTCGGATTAATATCTTAAATACTTTTTTGCAGTCTTTTTGAATGACCATGATTAAACTTGTTAAATACTGAAATTGGACATGCCAAATATTCTTTAGCAATCTAAAAATAATACATTGAATTATAAATTTCACAATTCCACTTAGATCAACATAAGAGAAGACAGCTAACAATTTGAAACTTCAGCTAGAAGATAGTCTCTTAGGAACTTTGATGATAACTTTTTATTCGATGAAAAAGTGTGAATTGGAAATACACTAATAAGTTCTGTAGTGTGGATGATATGGTTTAAATTTTTATATTAAACTTATTTAATTTAAGATTATGTTAATTAAATATCCACTTATCAGCTTAATGATGTTTAATATAGATCCTTATTAACATATAGTTTCAAAGGCCAGTGAAATTGTCAAATCTAATGAAAACAGAGTTCAAAGATAAAATTCTATCTTCCCTTTCTTTTATGAGCCTCTTAAAAATTCAGGGCACCTTTTTAAAAGCATTTTAGAGAAGATTAACCTCTAATATAATCATGTACATCTAATGTTATCACATTTTACAATGTCATTGATAGCACTTTTAGCCTTAGTTAGTTGGTTTTGCTAAATATCTTGTAAAACTACTAAAATTTCCTTTTCCCACATCTAATAGAGGAAGATTCTACTTCTCTCCTTTCTCTTTTTTCCTCTGGTGTAGCACTTTCCAATAGAACATTCTACAATGACAGAAATGATCTATATCTGCGCTTGTCAGTGTAGTGGGCACTGGCTTTATATGGCCTATTCTATACTTGAAATGTGGCCAGTGCAACTGATGAACTGAATTTCAAACTTTATTAATTTTAATTATCTTAAATTTAAATTTAAATAGCCTAGATGTTGCTGCTGGCTACTGTTTTGGAAGTACAACTTTGGTGTTCTTTTTAACCCAGTCAGACTGAATTTTGAGGATTTGACTATTTTCTCCTAATAGGTCTTAATTCCTTTTCTGGGAACAGGAATAATCCCCTTTTAATGTTATCTGTTATTCTTATACTAACTAAGGTATTTTTTTTTACATTATAACCCAATTTATAATTTGTGGATTTTACCATAAACCAAAAAGAACTTGCACTCATAGTAAGAATGCCAAATTGGACTTTTAATTCTGTGCAGTTCCTACACAATAGGGAATAGTAAATCTTTGCCACCTCTTACTTTGGGTCATTATATTATTTGGTAGACTTAATTTCCAATTGTATCTTTCCTTGTCTCTAAGTACCGTACGTCTGGGCAGTTTCTGTCTGCCCTCTTCAATGCTGCCCATGATGAAGGCAATGGAGTAGAAAGAGCTTGGACTTTGGGTTGGATTCCAAATTTTCACCGTGGCTTCCTCAGCAAGCTTCCTCCTTCTCAGAGCCACAGTTTCCTCATAGAGCCATTGTCAGGTTTCCTATCTTAGAGCACATTTGATCAATTTATCTTTCTCCTAACTTGACCCTGGAACTGTTGACGGTGTGACTTTCAATTTCTGAAGCAGTCAGTGCCTGGTGTCACAGGGGTGCTCCATAAGTGCTTGTTTGCATTAAATAAATGAAAAACTGCATTTTATTTTAACAAATGCCCCTCCTCACTCACTCATACAATTTTCTTTCATATCTACACACTGGGAAAAGAACTAATAACTGTTGGAAGACATAGCTTCTTTGGAAGGTGGAGGCTTTTGATGATTTAAAACAAGACATCAGTTCATAGTTTTCTCCATAGTTTCTTTTCTACTCTACTTAAATGATGAGGTACATTTTTACGGATCTTTACCTCTAACAAGTTTTTGCATTACATTTAAAAATATAATTGGTCACTTAAAAATGTTTAGAGAGTTGTCAAAAATAATTTACTTTAGAAAGGGATAACTTGTATACAGCATATTCCGTAGTAGATACCATCCTCTTTTGATAATACAGTCAGTGAAAGTATTTATGGCTTTGTACACATCAAGTGTCAAAAGAGTGAACAGCAGTTATAAAGTTAGAATCCAGTTATCTAAAAGTGCGAGTAGCCAAAGAGATGTGTTAGATAAAGAAATGTTTTTAGTAAAGACTCTGAAAACGTGATTGATGACTGGTTATTGGTCATCTTGGAGAAATTTAAGTTTTTTAAATGTTTATAGGAAAATTGAGAAAGTACAGGTAAGCCATTCAGAAATTGAAAGTTTCTTCTTACAAAGCATTCAACCTACTGCCCAAGAAAAAGCTTTCATCTTTCAAGATGAAAGCATCAAAACGAGACTAGAACTCTGAAGCTACTACAGAAGCATGCATGTATGTGGGCATGTGGTAGTAATCCACTAAACACATAGTTATACTCTATTGGAGAATAACCAGTACAGATTGGCCAGGCAGAGGTTCTGCCAGATCAGCTCACTTTTTACTATGGAAAAACAAAGATGCAAAGAATCCCCTACACCCATGTTTTCTTTTTTATTTCAAGACCACTTCAGCATCTCTTTTTAAAAAGTATTGTCTTCATTTTTATAGATAGTTCTTCAAATGCTGAATGCCATAAGTTTCAGTGATCAGTTTCATTATTTCTGTGCATTCAAAAGAGTTAATTGTGTTGGCAAAGACATTTGTGTGCTCTTCAATAAAATAAGTGTTTGCTACTGAATTTCAAAGGATTATAACATGTGATTTAGTTATTGATTGATGAGTTAAACTACATACATTGAATGTGCAGGATCAAATCATCTGAAATAAGAGGTCATATTATGTGTGTACATGTTTTGCATACAGAGCCACTTAAGCACTTGATTGACTGAGGACATCTGGTTTCTAAGCATCTTTTGCATTAAAAAATATTTGAAAGAAATCTCAACAGCTTAGTCAAATGTACTTGTTTCAAAATGGCTATTACTGAAGAGAGTTTCCAGTTAATATAATTGAAATTATTTAATTCTGCTCTGTGACTAGTGAAATTATTGTTTATAAGTGAAAGGTAATTACATATTTGGCCTAAAGTTAATCAATATGAATGCAGGAGAGCCAGAGCTCAAGCAGAATCAGGACTTTGTTAAAACAATTTTGTAAAGTGAGGTCAATCATAGCACCTGTGGAATAAACAGAAGTGATAGTAATGCAAGCAAATAAAATAAATTTTTTATCATATAATTCTCAGAGAGTTATATAATGCTTTAAACTTTCCTGTTTTTATAAATTATTTGTTATTATTTCATACCTAGCTTTTATGAATAAGACATAGAATTTTAGTTTTGTATGTGATTGTTTGTAAATGCTGGTTCATGATATCTTAAAAGATATGTGAACTCCAGTTTTTTTTAAAGCTAAGCATATTGGTTGATAGACTATGGTTATTATTTTATGAATTCTAGATAAACTAGAGATTAGAGATCTATATAATAGTTGTTCTTGTGAACACATTATGAGTTTTCTAACAAGGACTTACGATACTGTTGAATATTTGTTGCTAGGAATATCACCTAATGTGATAGGGAGGGACTATTTGTTTGAATTAGCTATAGCGGGGATGATGCAGCACTGAGTAAAGTCTGACTCCTTGAGTCTCTGATCCATGTTTTTAAATCCCAACCACCAGCGGGCTTGAGGCTAGATAGTGGGCTTTAGCTAGAGCCCTAACAAGAGCAAGGAGGAATATGTGCTTTGATTTACACTTGTATTCTCAAGAGATTTTGCTCTTATTGGAAACTTAACCACATAAAAATGAATTTCCTAAGCATAGTCCCTGATTATGAAGTTCATAATCTAAGAACCTAAAGGCGTGTTTCTGTGCTGAAAACAGAAATTATTATTGAAACAAAGACCTCACCTTTAAATGAGAGTATGAAGTACTGCAATCAATGACTTTAGCCCATTTTTCTCTGTTCACAATGACCATTTGTCACTGGATGCCAGTGAACCTTGAGCCAAAACAGTATACTGTCCAAGCAGTGCCTTATTGTTTTCCAACTTTTTGAGATAAATTTTGGTAATGTTCTGCTCTTAGTAATTTATTTGGTTACAAGAGAAATTAAGACACCAGTAATTTCCTTTCCTAAAAAATTAACTAACTTGTTTTTTGGTATGAAAAATAATATAGGCCTGTTGTAAATCCTCAAGCAGTGCAAAAGTATATAAAAATTAGGTGTTTAACTGTAATCTTAGTGGTTCTTTTCTTCTCTCTCCGTCTTTCCTCATCTACATAGATGAAATGAGAAAAAATATATTTACATGTGCATCTATACTGTACATAAACTACTAAAACTTGTTTTATAATTTTACATTTTATCATGGGCATCCTTCTTGAAACCTTCATATTTATGCCTTTGTGATATATAAGTATACATTTTAAATTTTGATAGATATTATTACCAACATATCCGCTGAATATTTTAGCTTATTCAAAATAACTACTTATTACAGGACATTTTTTTTTTTTTACAAAGATTCAGTGTCTTTTTTGGAAGTGAACATTAGTTGGTCATACAGGAGTACTAGGCTAAAGAAAAGTATATAATTTTGTGAATGCAATTCGAACTTCTAAATGTGGTTAGTTATCTCTCAACAGGGCCCATTTGGAGGCCAGTGCTGAGAAGTGGAACAGGTTGCTGATGTCTTTAGAAGAACTGATCAAATGGCTGAATATGAAAGATGAAGAGCTTAAAAAACAAATGCCGGTTGGAGGAGATGTTCCAGCCTTACAGCTCCAATATGACCATTGTAAAGTAAGTTGACCACCTATAGGGGGGTAGGGGGGTATCTTTTTTATTTTTTTAATTTTGGTCAAGTAAACACTTGAAATAAAATTCTAAATAAATTTCAAAGTTGAACTGATTATCACAACCCTTCAACCTCCTTTAATTGTCAGTATTTAGGCATTTCATTTAAATTGTATGCATTACTTTCATTTGTTTCAAATTACGTTGTGTCTTCATATTTAACCAAATTTTTTCAAACATTACAGGCATCTAAAGCATATTACTTTTAGCTTATCATGAAGTTGAACTTTCTAATAGATTTAGAATATTAATATATTATATTGGGAACAATTTTTAACTATAAGTTGACTTAATCTTAAATTTAAAATTCCTTAGGGTCATAAGGAATTACAACATATCTTGTTTTATTAAATGAAAGTGAAAAAAAGTAAGGACTTTTGGTAGTAAAAAAAAACAAAGTCTTAAAGCAAATAAAGACCATAGTATTTAAGATCATTTTATATGTTTAATTTTCTGAACTTAGCCCTTTCTTTGAATTACATTTTTATTCTGCTCAAATTTCTGTCTCTATGCAAATATGTACTTTGATTGGCAAACAGATATGCTGAAATGTTATCAAATGACACATTAATTCTTTAGATTCTTATATTATTTACATTTTTGCCTTGCTCACTTTTAATTAATTTATTTATAATCCATCATGCCCATTTTCTTGTATATTGTGTTTCATCTTGTTTTAGTGTGTTTTTTACTCTTCACATACAATGCAAGTTCTCATTCTAGATCTGAACATTTTAATATGACTTAGAATTCAATTTCCATTTAAAAAATGACAATCACTAACCTACGCATCTTCTAAAGGAACATGTCATCTATGTAATAAGTTGCTTTAATACAAAATGATAAGACCTTAAAATTCATTTTATCTCGAACCCTTGTGTGACTAGGTTATTAAAATTACCATTTGGGTATATTTTCTCTTTCTACTGGAAAAGAGATTGTCATAGACAAATAGCTTTAAGATAAGGAAAAGGAAAACACTATTTTGTATGATATGCAAAATAATAACAAGAGGAGATTTAAAATTACTGATTTAAGAAAATCACACTTTCTCCTTATTTTTCTCAACTTTCTGTTAATTATTCATAGAGTATTCCCTTTTTGTGGGTTATGGTATTAGTAATAAAATAGAATAATACAAAGCTCTTCTGATAGAGGTGCTCTGTAAGGAATGAAGGCTGACTGACTATGTGCTACTAGGTTTGACTAAAACCCAAATCTTGAAATGATTTTCCTATTCTGGCCTTAGCACATAAAGTGCATCTCAGCCTTAACAGTTGGTCCCATCTACTTTTTGTTTCCCATCCCAGCAAGGTTACCTGGCTTTCGGTTGTGTTTTGCTCTTAGAACACCACGTGCAGTTGTTCTACTTCAATCCTTTAGACCCAGGCATTTAGGTAATAAAGATAACACTTGATGATGATGCTGGCAATAACATTGGTTCATTTATTCAGCAAGTGTTTACTGAATGCCTAATATGAACCAGCACTATTCCAGTCACTGGTGAATCAGTACTGAACAAAACCAAATCTCAGTACTGAATCTCAGTAGTATGAGACGGACACTAAACAAGCAGGCAGTAAGTACATGCTCTGTCCCGCAGTAAAGAGTGCTGCGGAAAGAGTAAAGCAAGGGGGATGGGAGAGCATCAGCAGAGTTGCTACTTTACATGGAGAAGGTCAGGAAAGTGTCACAAATGGGATGATGTTTCATCAGAGACCTGAAGCAGGTGAGGTTACTGAAGCACTTAGTCACCCCTCCCGGGGGTAGAAACTTTATGGAAAGGGGACAGAAAGCACAAAGGCTGCAGAGGCTGACTGGGGCATATTTGAGGAATAGCATGGAGGCCAGTGTCGTTGAAGCAGTTTAGCCAAATAGAGAGACAGGAGATGAGGCTGGAGTGGCAGGTGGGAGGAAGGGGTTCAGAGCACAGAGGTTCTTGAAAGTTTTTTGTAAGGGCCTTGGCTTTTACTCATTGAGATGGGACACCATGGAAAATTTGGTATCTGGCTTATTGTATCACAATTGCAGATTCAATTGTGAGGAGCAGAATGCAGAGAGGAGTTCAGGAATGCTTCAGTAGTCCAACGGGGAGGCTGGTGACTTGGACAAGGGGATAGCAGTGGAGATAATGAGGAGTAACTGGTTTCTGAATATATTTGGAGAGACTCAACAGGATTTGCTGATGGGTTTGGATGCGCCGCCGCATGTGAGAGAAAAAATCAAGCACTGCAGTAGGCAAATGTTTTCAGACCACCCAAATGGAAAATGGAAGTAGCATTTAGAGAGGTGGAGGAAACAGCTGGAGGTGCAGTTTGGGGAGAAAATCCAAGGGTTTAGTTTTTGACATGTTAAGCTGTAGATATATATCAGGCAGTTAGATCTACAAATGTGAAGTTAGGGAAAAGGTCAGGACTAGAAATCAAAATCATCAGCCTACATATCAGCCATGGGATTGGATGAGATCACCTAGCTGGTAGTGGTTATAGTTAGAAAAAGGAATGCCAAGAAATGAGCCCTAAGGAGCCTCAGCTTTAGAGACTGGGAAGATGAGGAAGACTGAGAAGGCAGATCCAGAAGGGTAGAAGAACCAAGAGAGAACAGAGCCTGGGATACCAAAGAAAGAAAGAATTTTATGAAGGAGGGCATGGTCACAAGGATCACATATTGCTGAGACGTTAGATAAGATGAGGGCAGAAAATTAACCATCTAGAGACAGTCTTGTTGACATTGAACAAGAGTTGCTTCAGTAGCCTGAGAGAGCTGGTAGCCTGATTGGAATAGATTCAAAAGAGACTATAAGCAGAAGTATATAAACCATTTCAAGGATTTTTAACAACAAAGTTAATGGAGAAATGAGGCAATAGCCGGAGGGGAGAATGTGGGGTTAATCAGTGGTTTTATAAAGATGAGGAATAATTCAATATGTCCTGTGCTGGTGGGAATGATTCTGTAAAGTAGGAAAAGTCACTGATGCAGGAGAGAGAGCTCTGTATGGGACATCAGCAGAGTGGGATCCAGTGCATAGGTGAAGCAGTTGGTCTCAGGGAGGAGAGCAAAGAGTTCATCCATTTTCACGGGAGGGACCGTGGACTATATGGGTACAAATAAGAGTAGGTTCATGGATTTGGGTGTAGAAACATGTAGGTGTTCTCTATTTATTGCTTGTGTTTTCTCAATGAAATAAGAAGCAAGGTCGTCAACTGAATATGAGAAGAAGGAACAAATGTGGAGGTTTGAGGAGAGAAGAGCTAAACAGAGTCTAGAACTAGCTAAGTTAATAAACTAGGGATTTATAACAAAACTAAAGAGCGATGGTAAGGGTCTACTTGAGGTCAGTGTTCATGAATTCACAGTGAGAACAGCCAATGTGGATGTTTTTCTTCATCCGTGTTCAGTTGCTTTAGTGAAGGTAAAGCCTTAATTAGAGAGTTGAATTTAGTCAAGCAAATGTGATGGAGGAAGAGAGGGGCAAGGGAGGTAGGATTATCTAACACAAGGGAGCTGTAGTAGCTATGGGACGTGGAATTATTGCTGGGTCAGGGGAAGTGTGAGAGTACAGAGAGGGATGACGGACAATAAAATGGTGTTAGAAGTCTGTGACTCAGACAATCCAGTGGGACTAACTGTTGGTGTTGGGAGCCTGGTGGGTTATGAAGTGTAAATAATGCAAGGGGTGGTTAAAGACGGGCTGCTGGAAATTGAGTTTATGGAGGGGTGTGTTTATGTTAATGGCAATATCCAGTGGTTTTTCGTTTTGTGAAAATGCATTGCACAAGTAGGGTGGAGGGCAAGGTCCTTAGAGGAGAGTCTGTCAGGGCCCTCCAGGGTCATGGAAGGATCGTCTACATGGATATTGAAATCACCAGGAATAGGAGGGAGAGCCAGAAGTCAAAATGGTGGCTGTGGAGAAGGAAGGGTAATGGAGGTACTAACACAATTTGGGATTCTGACATAAAAATGATGTTTTCATGTTCCATTTATCCTTTGAGTCTTAAACCTACTCAAAATACCTCTGTTTGTGGGTGGGGTCAAGGAATAGCATGAGTTGGATGTTCAGCCCTGCTTTCTAAATTTCTTGATGCCTGTTTTTGGACTTTTCTAAGGTTGCTGTTATTTTATTTATTTATTTTTTATCACAATTGCCATCACTTAGCAGGTTGCCTAAGATCCAGACTGCTGTTGAAGGATGTTCTTTATCAGTAATTTGGTCTTATTAGGCGTTTTATTTAATAGTCTGTACTTCCTTACCTTTGCGAGTTATATATTAGATGGGTTATATGAATAATACTGATTGGGTTTCTGAATATTGAGCTGGATCAGGTCTCATCTCATTGTTATATCCTCACTAGAAACAATGCTTTGTAAAAGTTCACGTTGATTCTGTGTTCCAGAATATGACACTTTATTCTGGTCTGTCATAGTCTGCCTGTCGATTTATCAGGATCCAAAACTGCAGGCTTTTAAAATATTATTTATTGTTATAATCTTTGGACAGACATTTCATACTTAATTCTAAGGACTAAGCAGGAATAAGATACTAGGAGAAATAAATTATGGAATACATTTTAGAGTAAAATTTGTAGGGATGTGTATTGGTTTTTTTGGGCTGCCATAATGAAGTACAAATAGCCTGGGTGACTTAAACAACAGAAATGTATTTGCGTACAATTCTGGAGGCTAGATGTCCAAGATCAAGGTGTCGGCAGGGTTGGTTTCTTCTGAGTCTCCTCTCCTTGTCTTGTAGATGGTTGTCTTTTCTCTGTGTCCTCACATGGTCTTCCTTTGGCGCATATCTGTGTCCCAATTTCCTCTTCTTATAAGGACACCAGTCATACTGAATTAGAGCCTTCCCTAATGACCTCGTTTTATCTTAATCACCTCTTTAAAGGCCCTGTCTCCAAGCCTAGTCACATACTGGATGGGTAGGACTTCAACATATAAAT